TCGCGTTACATATTTGCATCTTGCAGAACAGCATAAAGTAAATATGCATATAATTCAATAAAAATATTTTATAACGAAGTAAAATGATTCTGAAAAATCTTATATACATTCACTTATAGATACTTTATACAGATAATTCCTGTAAAAGAAAAAGAATAGGAATACATAGCATTACTGCCTACTGGGTCAGTTTTGGAGCCCATTTTGTCAGACGCTCATTTTTGCTTACCTAACGAAAAAATTAATTATTGAAAAATTGCATATAGTATTATAAAAACTACTTATACTATCTGATAAAAGAACAGTTTTCAGTTTGTAATTACGTTTTTAAAATTTTATTCTTACCCCTTTTGTTCAAGAAATATTGTTTAAAAATAAAGTGGTATGTCGGTATCGGCGACTTTCCTCTACTAAAATTCTTACGATATATTTAAAAAATAATTTTATTATAAATATATAAAAGAAGATATATGTATATAACATATATAATATACATAAATATAATACACGTAAAAATAATATTCATAAAAAACACAAAATTTAATAAAAAATCATTTCCGAAAAGAAAATGTTAATTTGGATATATTATATAGTTCTCGTGGCTCCCTTGATTTAAATAAAATTTTGATAAAGAATAAATATACGGTTATATATGATTAAGATTGCAATAAATAAATATCGTATGCTATTATCTGATTAGAGGATCTCTGATATTGTAAGAAGCGTAGAAAAGAAAATACGCTGCGATAGAATCAGAAAAATTAGAGAATGAACTAGCAAGTTACATGCGATCGCGATAATGCTACTATAATAGATCGTACCGACAAACATGTCTCCAATGTTCGTTTCCGTAAATCTAGTTGGAATCATCCGGGAGTCCATGCAGGTAAAGAACACTGCCTTTGGCTGTGATAGGAAGCAACAACAGACATCAAATTACAGGCTGTGCTAGCAAAGTTATAAATATGCGACATGGGTGAAAGTAAGTAATATATATATTTTTTTTCAATATACAATGTATCCGACTTTAGTCTATTCGAATTTTATTAAATAAATAAATTAATAATATAATTATTTATTTATTAAAATGTTCAAAAATGAAATACGAAGGTATTTCTTCCTTAGATTTTTCGATATATTTTTATATTTCAAAAACAGTAGAAAGAATATATATATATAATATAGAAAAGTTATACATAAAATAAGATTCTTATTGATTATACAACGTATCCAACTTTAGTTTCAAAATCCGCGTAGTAGGAATAGGCGTCTCTTTCCTAAATTCCTAGATATTCTTTATTTTTATTTTAAAAAACAGAAAGATATATAAATATAGAAATATATTTTTTTAATTATATTTAAAAATTAAATATTCTACATATATTTCGTTATTGATGTAAAAATACAATAATGCATTTTTAACACCTCTCTAAAATATCATAATCTACGGCATTGCCAAAGAAACTACTCTACTAATAGAAACAGAAATACATACTATAGTAAAAACAGAATCCACTAATCGAGATATATCCTACAGTCGGTATACATATATTCTAATCTACGTACGGTATATTATCGATAAAATAACTATGAGTGATAAAAGCAGAGAACAGACATTCTCCTAGCATAACATTGTAAGATAATAAATCTACATAAAATAACTCTATTGGTAAAAACATAACACAATTACCTCCCCATATTACATATAGGTCAGTAAGGTAAACATGGGTAAACATTTTGCTGTCATTAAATACGAGTACTCTAATCAATTATTGGTCAATCAATAATTCGAGGTCATGGTTTGAGGTCATGCTTCGAGCCATTACATTTAAAATAAGTGATCTTATTAATTAAGTCGTATTTAATAAATGGAGTTGCGAAAGAGTATTTTTTACGGCCCACTACCACTCTCTTGCTCCGAGATAGTATCAACAAAACACACGTGGACCACACTCAGCGTGGCAGTGCAGATGTACCTATATACCTATCTATCGAAAAAATTGTCACGCGAGATTTTTTTTTTATCACACGAACATACCTCGGGATGATCTTTAACTTGTTGGAATTGCTTCACCATGCCTTCCCGGTGACACTTTCTGTACTTCATGATCCCCTTCAGTATTCTATCCATCACGACATCCGAGTAATAACGATAAAATGAACCATCAGAAACTTATTTTCCTAATGTGAAGAGCAATGACAGCACACAAATCCGCCATTTAACAACTCAACGGCGGGAAATTTAACTTCCCTCTGATCTATCATAAAACAAATGAACCACGTCTATTTTTTTTTAATTCAGAAATGCTTCGACTTTATAAAATATATTGGAACCAGAAAGAAACAGCTTTGATCGAGTAAACTTAGAATCTGATCAATCTTTGATTATTCTAAAAGTTTTTAAATCAGGTGATTTTAAATTTGTTTTTTAGCTTATTTCATCGGAAATATTTCTATTAATTTTATAATATTAAATATACTCATTCATGGAAGAAATATAAGCTTGCTTGTGGTTATAATTTATTTGCACATTTAAAAAATACATCGTAGTTTTAAATTGTTATATCTTTGAGGATTGTAAACATATAAACACATCGTAAATTCCTTTCCTACCAAATTGACGTTAACTATTTATCTTTACAATCACAATATGATACTCCGATGCAGCACAGATTGCACATCCACTTAAAAGTTCCTTTTATATTTGAGGACAATCTTCAGTAAAGAAATCTATCAGTGAACACATAATTAAAACATATCGCGATTATATATCGATTATTTTCATCAGAACTTTTCTATTGTCGTGATTCAGCTATGAGAATAGAAGCTCTTAAATGGATACTCAGTCTTGCATTGTTATATCGTAATACCATGCAGATGTAGAACAAACATATGGTGATAATTAATTATAACTAATATTCGTTGGATGTTATTGCGACATGTTTCGAATCACAAATGATTATTGAATTAAAGAACAAAAAATAATTCCGAATGTGAAGCAAGAGAATTGCGAATATGGAAACTATTCTACATCGATAACTGGCAGATGTATTATGACAGATATATTATATCCGTATGTAACATGTGGGATGAATTCATATCAATAAAGTCCTAATATATGGCCTGAAATACAGTGATAATCGTCAGCCTCTTTCGGATACGTCGATTATATACTTATTTTGTCATAAACGCTCACATTGAAGAAGCCATACATTAAAGTATACTTTGTAACTCGATCTCGTCAACAATCGTATCCCCGTAATCGCGCTTTATCTTAACGATACGCGATTCCAGAAATTCAGCAATTATTAATAGGATGGACCCGGGTGACAAGGCGCCTGGGTCGCGCCGACTTCTATCTAGTCAACGCCGAACTCTGGCTGGCACGTTCCAACTTTTCAAAGTGCTTTCGTGCGTTGCGTATGTTGATTAACGTCGCCGCAGATGCTGAAAGTAGATGCTCGTTTTAACAAACTTCAATATCAGGAAACACGGTAATGCCTTGAGTGTCAAGTGCTCGATTATACTTTATATAGGACATATATTTGAAATATTTTTATTTAAAATACATATTTAGAAGACAAGTATGTTTTGTATTTCAGTGGACCACATGAAAGTATTACGTATTTTGTATTTAAAATGGAAAGGTTGATAGTTTTTTGTATTTTGTAATTCAAATAATAAGATTGATTGTCAATCTTAGTATTTGAAATATAAAATATAAAATACTTTCAATCTTTCATTATTAATACTGAAATATAAAATACAAAATACTTTTATATGCTTCGATGAAATACAAATACAAAATAAAATTATATACAAATATAGTTTTTTTAAATACATACCCAGCCATGTAAATAAATATATATTTTTTTTAAATATATATATAATCGATATTGGATTTGAATTGTACAAATACTTAAAATACTTACGTATAGTTGGATCGGACATGATGACCATCACGTATGTATTCGAGGTAAATATGTCGATAAAGGCCGCGAAATTGGTATTTCTAACTTCCATACTTTGAAATTGTGCCGCTAACTTACTGCAAAATTAATAAAAACTGCAAAAGTTGCATCTTTTTCTTGTCGGACTTGTTACTTTTTTGCATGACTCATACTTACCTACAACTCAATTTGAATTGCTTTATTATGTTGGAAACTTTTTCGAAACGATGAACGTCTCTGTGAAACTGCCGTTGACAATGACTTATTACTAGAAAGGTCGCTCTTTCAAACAAAAGCACTTCATCCGCGTCGATAATATTAGCAAACTGGTTCAAGCTTTGTTCAAGTTCCTTCACATTGGGAATCAGCATATATACAATGGATGACCATGCTCTACAATAACGAAGATTTATTTGTCTGCTTTAATTATGTTCTTATCTGATACATACCTGTATAAGGTTTCATCCCATATGCTAGTTCTGAAGCAAGTGCACTCTAAAGGTAAACTCAGTCTTTTCAAATCTTCCTCTCTTTCCCTGAATATATAATCGCGTTGGTCCTCTTGCACAAGATCCATTTTATGAACTAGGCAAAATATCTTTGCCTCTGGGCTATTCTGCAGTATTGCTTCTAAACAGCTCTGGTAATAATGCATATCTTTATCCAGCTCTCTCGATTCCACATCAAAGACATAAATCAACACCTCTACATTTCTAAATATGTTATCACGCTGCGATGCAAAATAATTCTCCATGAATGCCTCCTGCCCTCCGCAATCCCACAAATTCAGAACCAAATTGCCGAGAAAACGAACGTGGGAATGTTCTACGTCAACTGTAACAAATTACATTATATTAGTCTCCCTTTAGGCTGGCAATCTGTTCTTAATTCAAGATTACCTTAAGGGGATTAATGTCTCAAGATGTTAATACAACTTTGATTAATTTATTCAAATTGATGTATTCACATCAATCACAAAACTGTATTAGCATCTTAAGATATTACTTAAGACGGTTTTGAAATAAAAACGGATTATGAATACTTAGGACTATTAGCATAAGTTTAGCTTACTCGTTGCTCCTAGACGATGAGTATCACGAGCAATGTAGTTGGCAAAAATAATGCTGCGCATACTCGTTTTTCCGGACCCACTCTTACCCATTAACAGTACCTAAAATAAAATGATACACACTCATTTTGTCTCAGAACAAAGACGTGTCTCCATAAGAAAGACTTATGCAAAACAAAAAAATGCAATTCCATGCATTTGCGTAACGTAAGAAGAAAAGTTTACCTTTTTCTTCATCGTGAATGGATAACGTTTATTCGTTTCTCAATAAATTCTTCTGACAAAAAAAATTCCTGGCTGGTCTCCGTTGGTCTTCCAAGTGTCTTGGCTTATCAACTATTCTCCGCCCTCGAGCAAGGATCGCGCGCGACAGTACACTCAACCTGCGGCTGCCTATCACCAACTGTCGCATCAAAACACGCAATGTGATTATATGTTACATACATTACACGTTGCGTCTCATTTCGAAATAACGTCATCAACCCACATGGAAACGTACTCTCACGTCTCTCAGCGCAGAAGCATGCAGAAGTCAGCTGCTGACGCCAACTTCAGATCGTTGGCCATGTCACTCACAAGAAACGGTATCGCGCCAACGTTCAGACCACATTCGATTACCAATTCAATGTCCATTAATTCTTACGCACTTCCGGAATCTAGATTTTTTTTTAGGGACTTTTTAGATATACGTCATGACAGCTGTGGAATGCTGTCAAATCAGCTGTTTTGCGACGTCGCCCTTCCCCCACTTCTCTCTACAATCATAATGCACGAATATACGTAGATGCGAACGTTGTACATCCGAAACATCCGGGACAACTTCACGCGATAGACGATCAATTTGTTCATTGCAGCAATAATCGAAATATTTTTGCAGTTGTATTGTATTATATTTTCTGCGTTTATGATAAAATAGATATTTATTTAGATATTAAAAAGAAAAAAGAAAAGTAGCGCAAAAAGCTGCAACGAACAGACCCATTCCGAGTGTAACCGAGTGCCGTACTTATCTTCTTCGCAGGTTCTTCGGTCAATCGATGTGTCACGTGAATAGTACGAAGAATCTCTCATGTGATCCTTTCAATACCTGTAAATAACTCATACGAAATACGGTCGCTGGCTCCGTATTCGTTCGCTACTTTTCGGAGGAACGTGATCAGATAGGAAAAAAATGGGCGCATCTGTAATACCTGTGATAGCCTTCACGCTCCTCTGGGGCGCCGTGGTATTCCTAGGAGTAGCTCTACCACTTTTCGTTCCAAAGGGACCAAATCGCGGGTAAATATCCCTCTCGGCGCTCTTTTTTGCTTTCGTATATTCTCATCCTGTTGAAATTCGCATTCGTACATGGATCTCTTGAAACAGACAAAATTTCCTCTTGTATAAACATTTCTTCTCACAATGTTATAGCTTGTAAAATAATAATTGCATTTGATCTAATTTTCCTTGAACATTTCGGTCAACAGAGATATTTTAAAGATATAAATCGACATCTGCTCAAGTTATCCATATTCGTCAATCTTTAATTTATATTGACACTTATTGCAGGATACTGCAAGTTCTCCTGGTAATAACGGGCTTTACGTGCTGGCTATTGTAAGTGTAATATTTTTACGGCATCTTTATGTTTCAGTTCATATATTTGTAATTTATACGTAAATAAAATTATCTTATAGCTGGCTATGTTGCTATATGGCACAGATGAATCCATTGATTGGGCCAAAGTTGAGTGGTAAGACCATACTAGTTATGGCTCGAGAATGGGTAAGTAAAAAAATATCAAAGATTAGATAATTTATATTGTATATGTATGGATTGTATTAAAACCAATTGATTGAATTAATTATTTTGTTATTTCATGGTTAAATAATTTTACCGAAATGTATAAATAACTTATATTTAAATATTCATAAGTTACATACATATTATTTTGTTACAGGGAAATCCTATCACTGATTAATGAACATTCCACCATTCATGAAATTTTTATTTCAAATGTATACGTTCATTCCCCGATATTATTTTCGATGAAAATATATATACTCGAACAGAACGCAGAAATCATAATGATGTCATAAATACATCATCATTATCTTATTTGTCACTTATGAGTGCATTTTTAAGTTGACGTTTTTACAATGTCATATTGATGTCTTATGATATCATTATGCCTTTATTGTGACTTTGTATTCTACCTAGATAATTAGGAATGTAAATTTATGAAGATGAAATGCCAGTATGTCTTAATAATTCCTATAAATGAAATTATCGTAGTTCAGTTATAATTATACATTAATTTAATTTGTATATAAAATATCTATCGCAATTACTTAGAAATGTGTAAGAATTTTAATGTAATAATTCTGAAAACATTGTTGGAAAAATAAAAAATCATGCTTTTAATTGTATACATCTTTATATCATTTAAACTTACCCTATTGTTAAGTTTATTTTTCTCCTACAAAAGTATTGATATGAAAAAATAAGAATAAAAAATTAAAAAAGAATATATTCGTATAAGATTATTATTTTTACAGATAATGTAATCTTTTTAATTTTAAAATTTGTAATACTGTAGATGACCTAATGTTAAGGAAATGAAATGTTTATTGTTACTGTAGGATACGAATTTCTAAAGTTATTTAGGCACAAAACATCTAGCTATGGCTTTTATGTTTTTGCTCTATTATTATCCATTTTTCTCCCGATACATTTACATGTAATGTGATCATTTTGAAACAACCTGTATATCAGTTGCAGGCTATATCACATGAGCGCGATAAAATGTCATTATCAGATGACTGCCGACAGCCAATGAGAGCCATTCGACTAGTCGTCCGTCGTAACACGAGATATTAGCTTAAAATTCTGGAATATAGTTTACGTTCTTCACAGTGCTCCACAGAGTGCAAATGTCAGTCGGGAAAAGTGATACGATAATAATGGAGGCGTGTAATGCTGTTGAACGCGAGGTCGACAAAGTTCTGTCGAAATTCGGTGCGATAAATGAACATGCGGAGACAGTGTTGCGTGATTTAATAAACCACATACAATCTCTGAAAAAAGATCTGGAGGAAGGTAAACAGCGATGAGATCATTGATATTCCTATGTCCCAAAAGCTTTTGTCTTTCATCTCGATTTCTCCGTAGTTATTATCATGTAATTCGGAGGGCTTATCACGCTCTCGATCCTTAATGGCTCAAACTCAGATAGATGAATTACTTCATTTATTAACGTATATGTCTTTAGTATTATCCAAATTTAATCCTTTGAAATCGACTAACCTCAAACAGTGCCCTGCATGTAGACTATTTAACTTATATAGCCTAGTTTTACGTGTTTACATAAATTGTAGTATAATAATTTGCGATTAAGTGTAAATTACTCATTTCTTATATTTATTTATCTTATTATATTTTCTCATTACTGAAGTATTGTCTCGACATGTATTTGTCGCAATGTCGTAACTTGTTCCGTCACTGGAATTATTCAACTGATATTAAAATAAATGATTAGATTTTTTTAAGTGTATATTTATGTGATGCATTAAAATAATTTTTAAAACAATGTATTTTTTATAAATTATAAAATTTATATTCTGTTATGAAACTTATAATACATATAAATTTACTATATGTGTGTATAAATATTTGAATATGTAAATATATAATATTTATATATTTATTCTTTTACAACAAATGTATAATCAACTTTGATTTTATAACTTTGATTGTAATACACTTTTATTAGCACCACCTAATCAGGAACTAACAGCTGCTCAAGTACAAATGTTAAAACAAGCAATGACAAAAGTACGTGATACTGTACAAAGATTAGCAACAGACCATCGCGATCTGCACAGTACAGTATCCAAGGTAGGCAAGGCAATAGACAGAAATTTTATTGCTGATTTCGCTAGTACCAGCAGGGAAGATGTATTTTCTGGACCTGAGAAATCTCATCTTCTGAATCAAATAATCTGTCAACACTTTTATCGTCAAGGAATGTTAGATATTGCCGATGAATTAGCAGTGGTAAGTTTCTTTTAATCAAATCTATGTTTAATTTATTTTGCTTAATTCAAAATTATTGCATATATCTCTGAATATTATTTAAATATTATTAAATTAATGTGTATAATATAGATATATAATTGATATATTAATCGCTTTGCTTATTTTCAATTTTGCAACGTTTGTTAAACTACTTTGTATGCTTCTTGTATTCATGTAATTGCATATAATAACGTAACTGGTAACATTTACAGGAAGCTGGTATTAAAACCGATGAAGGTAGAAAGGAACCATTCACAGAATTGAATTATATACTAGATTGTCTAAAACAGAGAAATCTTGAACCAGCATTAGAATGGGCTAAAAAACACAGAGAAGCACTTTTAGCACAGGTAATATCTGATTCGTGAATGTGTAGTCTTTTTTATATTATTGGTGTATAACACATATCATAAATTTGTTATTTCCTTTCAGAATTCTTCTCTCGAGTTTAAATTACACAGATTACATTTTATAAGATTAGTTCAACAAGGTCCTAGTAAGCAGAGAGAAGCGATACTATACGCCCGCCAAAATCTTACGCAATTCGTTGTACGTTACGAGAAAGAAGTGCAATCTTTAATGGGAACATTACTTTATTTGCCACATGGGATCCAGTCATCTCCCTATAGTCATTTATTAGATCCAACTTTATGGCTCGAGATACACGATGTTTTCACTAAAGAAGCGTGTACATTATTAGGTTTAAGTGTGGATAGTCCATTATCTGTTTGGTATATATGATTTATGTACTCATAATTAAGAAGAATTTAACAAAACATCAACAATAATTTGTTGTTCATTTGCAGTATCAACGCAGGATGCACTGCGCTGCCTGCACTATTGAACATCAAGCAAGTGATGCAACAGAGACAAGTTACCGGTATCTGGAACGGTAAAGATGAATTGCCTGTAAGTACAAGGGCACGAAGTCGTGTATATAATTAAATATATGTGTATAAATATTAAAGATTCAAAACACCATTCTCTTTCCGTGCAGATCGAGATAGACCTGGGAAAACAGAGCCGTTACCATTCTGTTTTTGCCTGCCCTATACTTAGGCAACAAAGCACAGAGAACAATCCGCCGATGAAACTGGTTTGCGGCCACGTCATTTCTCGAGACGCGTTGAACAAGCTTGCCAATGCGAATAAGTAGGTGTTATATATGCGGCAAGGATGGAGTACGTTGATGTTTTCTAAGTGCTGATTTAAAGTCACTTTTTAAAAGAAATCAATTTATTTCCAGGTTGAAATGCCCGTACTGTCCGGCGGAGCAAAATCCCGAAGATGCGAGACTTATTTACTTTTAAGCTGTGATATACTTACCTATACCATATAGTAATATATACATATATATATATAATGTGTGTATGTGTGTATAAGGACTATATACACACGTAAAAAAGCTAGTTTTGCAGTTTCTTTGTAATGGATGTGGAATGCAAAAGAATGGGTTACATGCGAAAATTGTAAATTTATGTTTTACAATCGTGTCAAAAATTTCCATTATTGAAATTTGATCGTAATGTCGAGACCGATCATCTATTTCCTTTTTATAAATACAGATATAAGTCTGTTAATTACAATTCGCTCTTTAAAGGAACTAATTTTTAGATATTGGAAGAAAAAAAACGGAGGAACTGTGATAGTTTTATTATTCATAGGGTAATTCTAATTACGCAATGATATATTGTTGGTAAATAATTTATATATATTACTTTAGTGTATAAGTGACATCAGCTTTGTACGCGAGTGATGACTTAAAAGCCATGAATGTGTCTAACGACGCCTAACAGATTTGTTACAAGTTCTTCATAAACTCATCCGTTTCTTATTTCGATTGTATGTACTAGCTTACCTATATAATAAAATGAAGAGATCATTTTGTAAATTTGTTTTTGTATTCATTTTCTGCATTATATTTTAAAATATTCATCAATTCTGACAAAGGGAAATAATTAAATGAGAAATATATTACAACGGTAAACAAAAATAGCATTGAAATTTTATTATAAAAAACTATATATGTAAACAAATATTTCTAAAATAATAGCAATTTTATAGAAATACGCAATCTATTCTTATTATATATTACGTTTGTAAAAAAATTTAAAAAGGAAAGTGAAGTTTGGATCGGCGAAGCACTCGCTTATTCTGCAAGCAAATGATATTGATCAAACATCAAGCGATCTGTTTTCTGTTCCTGCACTAGAACTGTTCTAGAACTCTCTTTAAACAAATATCAAACGTATATTTATCTCACTTTTGTAGTTACAAAAGTGTACACTAGTTCAGCCACAAAAAACAGACCTAAGAATTAAGGCTCTAAGCCTTAAGAATAATGCCTCCGGCACATCAGCGCGATGTTCGTCGCGCGCGACACGCGATATCCAATGAGTGTACAGCTTTATCGGTGTTCTCATTCTAAAGGTATATTCTCATTGGATATCGTGTACACGCGCGACGAACATCGCGCTGGTGTGCCGGGGCCATAAGAAATGTACATACAGCCATGGTCGCCATGGTGAAAGTTACTTCCATATAGCTACTGCAACCTGCAATTAATCGTTTGTTCGAAGTAATCGAAATCTGATAAGACTTGCTCACCGAATTTAATAAATATCGGAGAAAAACGCTAAAATACCTTCGGTCTTCATTTCTCACACGAAGAAATCTACATAATTGCCGCATTTTTAAAAATATATATAGTTTCAATGGAATCTTTTGGTAACATGAAGAATTCTAATGGTAACCTAACCTAATACTAATATATATATTTGCATCAATCAGAATTTCTCGATTGAGGAAGTAAAAAATGACTTAATATGAAAAACATTTCATTGTTATTTTTCAAGACGAATCTGGATCGTCGATCCTGCCGCCCATACGATCTGCGGAACGTCGAACCTTTGATAAAAAAATCGATTCCGTTGAGGTATTGACCCCCCTGATTGATGAATTTTCATTTCATGAAAGTGTGAAACGAAACGACGGTAGATTTAATCAAGACTCTACATTGAAGAAACGCGATGTTGATGAAATGACATTCAAGAAATTCGAAGCCTCTCTACATGAATACCTTAAGAAGCAAGCACAGTTTTTATTTTCAAATAAACAGTTGCCGACGAAACCTACGGAAATTGATGTAAGTGCAAAATGATTTAAAACACAAAATAAACTTGAAACACAAAATAGTCGTAGACACATTGGTTAATTAATTTAGTTTGAAATTATTTAACTAATTTGGAATTAATTATTATTATATTTGTTTAGATGCAATTGGCTTCTGTAGCAGAGCGTATTGAATTAAGTAAATATTTATTGAAGAAAACCAAGGCTCGCGTCGATGATCGGTACCTTCGTATTAAAAAAGATTATGTTTGTCGATCATGCAAAAAAATGCACGATGGTAATTAATATTGATATTTATCGATCATATATAAATGAATACAACAATAACTACTTAAGCATAAAGATTGCCGTAACTGTATCAGAGTCGTAAGTCGATTTATATACATATGTTTATATCGATCCTTGTGCGATGACTTTTATATGATTCTGTTGAAAATAAATAAAGACAATCCTTCCGCTTGGGCCGTTCATTATAATGTCACACTTCATTTAAAATTGATTAAATTTATTTGTATAATTTAAATATTTCTGATTTCAGTTCGCAAAAATATAGCCAATGAAGAATAGTTCTCTTGGTCGTTTTAATTCTACAAATTGTAAAGAAATATTTCAATAAAAATATCTTCTAAATTTTTTATTTATATTATTGTATGTCTTGACAGAGAATTTGGATGTTATTTATTAAGACAAATATAATAATATAGTCCTGAAAACATTTTTTCTAAAATATAAAATTCAGATTAAATGCGCTTAGCATATGCATGCTTTTTTTTATACATATATACATATAATGTATGTCTCAAACATATGAGTACAACAAATTGAATTGCCTTCAATTACTGCCAGAGCAAATTACCATGCTATTTATAACGTCGTCATTGTTCAGCTACAGAAAAAAAGGAGAGATTTAATTTATTCTCTTATAAAGAATATATATATAAAGTAAAGTTGTACAATATAATTATAAAATAATATTAACAATAATAATCATCAATAAAAGTAGAGAGCAGAATGATTCTTATGTCGTTTCGTCCCGTTTAAAACGGACAGACAGAATTTCCGGGATCATATTGACCTCGTTGTCGATTTTTCCATATATGCACCAGTCGTTGCTTGGACTGGTTTCGACGATTTTGGATGGCTCTGTGGATTCGGATTGATTGTCGCAACCGTGCTGTGAATCACCGTGATCGTTCTCGTCGATGGACCATTGAGACGCAATCTCCTTGAATGACTGCAAGTAATTTGCGTTTTGCTGTATATTCTCCAATTCCTCATCACAGAGACGCTCGACCTCCGACAGCTTCTGCTTGTAGGCGTCGACAAGTGCGCGTTTGTACGAATTGTAACGTAGCTCAGCTTGCTCGAAGGAGTGTCGGTCGTGATACTTGGCGAGATTTTTCTCATACTCGAGTATCGTGAGTTCCCTGATACTCGGTTCTGACGTAAAGTCGACGATGCTACCTACAGATTCATCGTATAAACGTTATTATTAATTTTAAACGGGTGCATTAAAAATATATACGAAATTTTAATGCATTATTTGTTTGAATAGTATCTATCAACTAAATATTTATTAAATATAAAATAGGTATATTAATTCACAAGTTACCTATCATTTCTTTTTGAGCAAATATTTATTGTAGGTAAGTAAATGTTTAGTTGGTAATTCAAATAAAAAATATTAAATATTTATTAAAATTTAGTATATTTTTTCTCAATGTGGAGATTAAATCAAGTAGTTAAGGAAATAAAAAAAAACGGATAGATTTAAAGCTTTGTGTTCTCTACATTATCTTAGAGTGTGACGTTAGCAGCAAAAAAATATGCAATAAAAGTTCTTGTAAAATATTTTAATATAGAAATATCCAAGACAGTAATAGTAAATAAATGGGAGCCTTAATAATATTAAAATAAATTCATATATTACTTTAAAAATTTATTTAAAAAATCTAAAGTTCTATAAGATTCACTCATTTAAGAATGAATCATTTATAATTTTCCAAAATGTATTTTTACTTTTTTAATTCACTCGTTTGATAAAAATACTCGTTTTATAAGCAATAAATCAAAGTACAAATTACGATTGATAATTTAATCATTACCTAAATCGCTTGAGAGCGGCGATTCAACGGCATAAGCCGCGGCTGCGGCCTGCGCGGCGGCGGTTGCCTCTTCAAACGCAAGAGCATTGCTTCTTTCGCGTAAAAATTGAAATTCTTCTTTCTCCTTTTTCCAAAGAGCCGTTTCTTTGGTCAGTTTTTCCCGAAGACTCGTCATCTCCAACCAGAGCTTCTGAGCGCGCTCGTGAAGAAGAGATCTAAATGGAATAATTTTCTTTCTGATAAATAATTTTATTTCGACGATGGAAAAAACCTGAGCATTTTTTATACTTTTGATCGAGTATTTTTTATATAAATTGTATTTTTTGTTTATAGTATTTAATAATACATACATTTAGTAGTATTGTTAAATATGAAATTGTTGGAAAAAATTTAATTAATTTAATTAAGGCTCCTAATCACTGTGAATCTTCAGATTGATGACGTAAAAATAGAATATAATTTTTAATAAAACAATATATATTTACATTTGATATAGTACACTTGTGAAATATATCAAAAACTCTTTCGAAATATAATAAAATAATATTCATCTCAATTTAACAGTTGTTAGCTTTGTTTATAATCTTGTTAGACATATTTCAGTTTCAAATATATATATATATATATATATTTATTGATTATCAGAACACAAGAGAAGTTTTCGAAATATTTTACAAATTTATTCTATCAATTGCAAATGTTATTCTTTATTAAAAAAGACATTTTAATATAGTTTACACACAGATGTTTAGACTGCTCTATTACATCGCTAATTTTTGAGTCAAGAAAATGTCACAATCCAAGTAGGAAGAAGCATCAATATAGTTCTTTATAAATTTAATTAATATATTTTTGTTAATCCTGAGCAAAAAATTCTGAAATAAGACATTTCTTAAATTACACGAATATTAATGATTAATTAATTCAATGTTTTATTATCTTTTTGTACTATAATAATATAAAGTAATTTACAAATATCTCCGTCTTCGCTTTCACGAAATATTTTCATATATATACATATATAGTAAGTAAAACTGTCTCCGTAATTTTCGCTAAAAAAAAAAAGAAAATAGATTGTCTTCAAAATATTTCTCCTTCAAAAATTATAATTCACAGCGAGAATACAATACGCGAATTCTCTTCCATAACCGACGGATGATCCTAGATCTGTCGTGAGTGGAAGTTGGGTCTCCGTTCGTTCGACATCACCCGAAAATCTCTCGGATACGTCGTCCTCATCCGACGTCTCAATATAAATCGTGGGTACATTTTCGCGATCGATCACGTCTTGTATACTTTCTTCATTCAACGTGCCGTCACGTTTCTCCGAGTGACATTTATGAATTTTGTAGTTTGGAGATTTCGAATTTTGAGACGCATCGTTCAAGACGACAGGCGCTATTTCCGTCGAAGAGACGCGCTTATCATCCATTGCTTTCGTTTTCTTTTTTTAAACAAATTCAATCGAATATAGAATTCATAAGAAATATCGCTATCAAATGGAATAATTTTACGTTATGTATTGATGAAAGAAACCGATCTCGGAGATAAATTGCGTTTTCGTTTTGTTTCTTAGAAATAAAATGAGTGCAAATTTCATACTATACACGGTGTAGTATGAATGGCTCTAGTTTCCACCCAGGGTTCGAACCGGGTCAGAATGCAAGAACCAATCAACTACAGTTGAGTATTCCTCTGTCATAGTCGAACGACGTAAGGACCGCATACGATTCGTTATAAATATACTAAGAAACATAATATAAATTATAAATTGTGAATCACTTAAACACTGCGCAAATATAAAAATATACTTATTACTCTTGTGGTCCTTAACAAAATTTTAAATAAAAATATTAATATAGCAGTACAACTAATCTGTTACCGTATGCATATCCACTAATTAATGGATGTCCGCAACCACATTTTTCATCCTCTTCTCGTCCGTGTGTATCAGCCCTTACATGGTGATTAGTTCGGTCCAGTGTGTCTTATATTTCACTATCCATGACAACTTCTTTCGTCCTATCCCTCTTCTATCCTCCATTTTACTCTCAATAATCATTTGCAAGCTGGTATTTTGTATTATGCATGATATGTCCCAGATATGCAGCCTTTCTCCTCTTTATTGTGGTCAGTATCTCTCTATCTTTGTTTAACCATTTCAATACTTCGTTGTTGAATATTCTTTCTGTCCATTTTATCTTTAGGATTTTCTCTCTCTCTCTCTCTCTCTCTCTCTCTCTCTCTCTACGTAAGAACCACATTTCAAAAGCCTATATTCTACTGATTGTAGGTATTTTTAATGTTCAACCCTTCATTCCATACAGTATGTACTGACCAGAAGTAGCATTCAATGAATCTCATTCTAAGATCGAGATCGAAGTCCGTATTGGTAAGGACTCTTCTGGGTCTTATATATAAACGCCCTTCGAGCGGTTTCTATTCGAGATTTTATTTCCAAATCTGATGACCAGTTCTCACACACACAGCCATATTATAAGATATTTAAATTTGGTTACTTAATTTCTTTAAACATAAATATCGTTGGATTATCCAACATTTCTTCTAATTTTTTCTAAAATGAGGTGAGACATATTTTATATATATCTATATATATATATATATATAAATAAATAAATATATATACATATATTTGTGTATATCGCATTTTGAAATTATTTAACAGTTGTAAATACAAAAATAATTTAATTTTGCGTTTTTGTAAATAACTTCTTCGTTAAATATAACATCTATTGGACATTGCCTTAACATTGATGAACTTAATTGTATCCATTGAAAATGGAAATATAGTGGATACATATTCAAATATTTTAATCGTTAGATATCACACTGCATAATCTGTGCCCTGCAATAAGAATTGCGTGAAGTTCCAAAATATAAATACGTCGAGCTGACGTTCCATCATAAAATGAAACGCATCATCAATGACTTTAGCACGATTGATGACACTTATACTCTTATAATCTCCAGCTGTATCATTTAAATATTTTACAATGGTGCCTCAAGTTAATGAATCGTATTTGACGCGATAGTATCTTATTTAATTAAAAAAAGTATTTTATCGAAGTAACTATACAATTATAAATTAATTAATTTCTATTTTAATTTGTAGTTATAGAGGTTCCTGATGCTCCGTTTCAAATGAATGGATGTTATATTTCTCTAGAGTGATCAATGAGAATGAGTTGAAACTAAATGATGAGACATATTTTATATATATCTATATCTATATATGTATATATATATACATATACGAGGGTCGTCTGAAAAGTTTTGAGCCTCATCATGAAGATGGCGTTACTCGACAAAGCCATTCTGATATTATAATCGTGATACTTACGAAAGATATATGTGACAATTGTGGCCACTTTGGACGTTCAGTTCTTGTTTGACAATCATTTGTGTCGTCATTTTGTAAAAATGGAAAAAATTGA